CAGCCAGCACCGCAAATTGCAACAAATCCAATTCAGAAATATCTAAAATTCTCAAGAACAAAGAAAATGTACAAATTTATTTTCATATGTTTGCTTATTATTACAATTTTAATTATCGCTTTTAAAACAATAAACATTGCCGGGGGTGGAACGTAGTTAAAATAATAGCGGTGTCAATGGAAAAAAGCGTCCTTTTGGTATATCGTTTCATTTGTTTTCTTTTGTTCGGGCATGAAAATTAAAGATTGCTGGAAATTTCTTTTCATTTCTTCATCATCCGTTCCTCTTTTAGGGTATAAACCTATATGTGACTACATATTTCCGGTGAAACCGAATCTTGGGAAATCTATTTTTCTATATATAAAGTGAGAAACATATTTTCTGCACACGTCAATTCATTTTTCTCTGTGTTCATCTGAGCGTTTAACTGTTTCTAATGTCCCATCATAGATTATTCCTATTTTGATATCGTGGAAAAAAATATTCATGTTTCCCTGAAAGAAAAAAATCTCTACAAAATATCCGTTTTAATAACGGTTTACCTAACAATGACCAATGAGTTATTAATTACAAATGTATTAAGTCTGTATATTTTGTTGCTCATAACTTAAAACTGATAAACTTGCAACGGGATGAAACAAAATAAATTAGTATTTTGAGCTACTAAAGTTAAAACCGAAGAGCTGAACTCAAACATAAATTTATTAGTCAAAGTAATCATGAGAATTAACAAACTTAATGCCAATGAACCACTAGTGAATATATGATGGCAAAAATAGTCTTTACAGAAATCAAAAAAACTGGCATTTTCATCTTGGCCTGCGTCGTCTAAAATCTGCAAACACATATATGCATTAGAAAATGTGGTAATCAGACTTCTATTTTATGTACAGTGTGCCTCCAAGACATGGACAATAATGGCTCTGCACAACATTCTATCCTTAGTAATATTTAATACATTACTATGTCTCTCAGTCCGTGTTCTGCTATCCATTTCTTCTTCTGTATGTGCCGTGTTTCCTCAGAACGTAGTCAATAATGGTCCTCCACATCTTCCTGTCTCTTGTAGCTCTTAATAAGTTGTATCTTTTTGCTATTTCTCCGAAAATCTGTTCCGCCATAATCAAACATAGAAATGAGAATAGGAAAGAAAGAAAAATAAAGAAACCACAAAAGGGGGGAGACCCCCCCCAAACCATTTTTCAACTGGAGTCGGCACCTTGTATGGAAAAACCCTACTTTTACTGCCAGAGGTTACTAGCTGTTTAATTCTGTCAGACTTGCTTCCAATGTGTTCAGTGAGTCCAAAATTCTCCAAAATCTTCATTCACTTGACATGTCCTAGAAATTTCAACTGTCTTTTCCAGATCGTGGTGACAAGTGTCCTTTCCGTTCCCATTTTCCATCAAACTTCCTCGTTACTCAGGTGTTCCGACTATGTTATTCTCAGTATCCTTCTGTAGAAGAACATCTCTGTCGTCTCACGTCTCTTCTTCCTCTCTGAGGAATTTGTCCAGCATTCGTTGCCATATAGAAGAACTGATATTACATAACAGTTCAGAACTTTTTTTTCTTGGTTTCTAATAAAATGTTATGCTTCTTTATGTTTTGTCTAGGTTTTGAATGTCATCTTTGGCTACTTAAATGTGCCTTTGAATTTTGGTGTCATATTTTCCGACGTCTGTGATAACAATTTCCTAGATAGGAAATTATTTTAACTGCTTGATTTTGACATTTCCACTTTGTAGATGTCATCTTGGGCGATTCCTCTTACTGACAACCACCCATTCTACCTTCTTACAACGGATGGTTAGTCCTTTCTTCACGCTTTCCTTGTTAGCTTCTCTAAGAGTTTCTGCAGTTTTTGTGTCTGCCGTCACCGCCGTGTAATCTGGTTATCTTATGTTGCAAAGATTGTGCCTACCTGTAATAACTCCTAATTGGATTTCTAGTTCTCTTACGATTGCCGAGCTGAAAAGGTTAAATAAACCCGGCGAGAAAACGACTTTTGCTTCGTTTTTATTTTTCTCTACGATGATGTGAAAATGCATCATTTTTTTTATTGAGTAAGTTGTGAAGCATGATGTGTTGCAATCCTTCGAAATCTTTTTTTTTTTTAAGCATTTAACCCCAAGCAAGGCGGGAGTGCCACTACCAAGCAAGGGGTTACAGAGAATGGGATCAAGAGTAAAGAGGCATGATAGAGGAAAGGATAAAAAGAAGGACATGAAATTAGATCAAGACATCAGAAAATGTCGATTGGTATTACATTTGAATATTTGAAGACTATCACTGCCAAGGAAGCAAGGAAGGGAGTTCCACAGACAGGAAGTGCGAGACATGAAGCTATTGCAGTAGAAAAGACGACTACATTTAATATTTCGACAGCGGAAGAGTGGGACCGATATACCAACCAAGTAACACGCTTAAAATCATGCAGTTTCTGAACCAGCGAATACAGCTCTTCGCAGCAGTTACCGTGGAAGTATTTATAGAATATAGTATTATATACAAAGGGAAGCGATGGCACGTGTGTGAGAAAGTGACTGTAGACAAGATGCCAGACCAGGACCAATCACATTGCATATCCGTCTTTGGATTTTGTCGAGGATCTTGAGACGAACAGCGGGGACTCCAGACCAAATATAGCAGCAGTAAAAATATTGAAAAAAATTTTTTTTTTTGCTTAAATTCCAAATATTGAATAACTTGACAATTCCATGATGTTTAGACCAGGTTACAATAATTTTTAGTGGCATTCTCCTATACACCACCACCAAAATGATCAGGTAGTGGTGAAAGATTTGATTTTGGGAACGTTGAGTGAGCAGCAAAAGTACAGATTTCCCCAAAAGGTCCTTTACGTATTCTTTATCAACAGCAGGCACTCATGAAAGCCGTGGCGTACAACGGCTGGAACGTTGTGATAAATATGGCAACAACGATGAGGACAATAGTTCGAATAATGTAAATAGTGTACATAATACCTCATCTCAGAAATATAGACAGGTGCATATATATATATATATATATATATATATATATATATATATATATATATATATATATATATATATGTAAAAGGACCAAAGTCGCAATACAAGTGGAAGCAAAAAACCAAATGTGCAAAAGACCAAAGACGCAATATAAGGTGGTGTAAAAAAAAAAAAGAAAAAAAAAAAAAAGAAAAGAAAACAAAGGCGTAAAAGACCAAAAGTGCAACGCAAGGCGGCCATTTCTATTTTCAAACTTAGTATTCAAATCTTTCGGAATAGAATTATAACGTTGAAGGTATTTGATAGACATTCATGAATTACTTTTTTACATTCTATTTGGATCCTTGGAAATGCAAACATTTTTTGTATCCCCTAAACTGAATACGCTAATAACGAATGTACCTGGTAGATCTCAGATTTCAAGATCGAAATACGTAAATTACATTCTCTATTTCGAGAGGGAAAAAGTTTCATTATTCCATCAATTATTCGGATATGTTTTCGTCTTCGGAATAAAGCGATAAGAACCACGTCTTAAAGACGCATCTCTAACGTTTCGTTGATTGTAGAACTTCGAAATAGGTGCAGAGAAACTAAATTAGTATGATTACATTTATTCAATATTATGTATTATCCCAACTTCATATTCGCTGTTTGTAATACAATTTTCCAGTAACTATATTACTCGACCTTGTTGTATTGTGTGTGGTGGAATTTTTCTCACGACGTTAGTTGTTCCTCTTCAGGTGCGTTTTAACATTCATGTCAAATTAGAAACGCTTTGAAACACTTGGCGTAACTTAGGGTTTATTTCAGTGAACAAAGAAATGAATTAAAGTAACAAATATCCTTCTTTTTTTATTTTCTGTTAATTCCACCCCCAAATAATGTAAAGTTACTTATCGCAAATATTGATTCACCCCAAGAAGTTATAAATTTTCAATCAAAGTTTTTCGTTTTTTATTAAATTTGTGACACTATTTTGAAATTATACATTTCAAATCAAAATTTTATTTATTTATTTGTTTGTTTAGCTTGCCTCGCAACAACTCCAATCATCAGAATGAAAAAATACCGAAAATCAGGGATTTGCTCACATTTCGTAAGTGCGGAGGTACAAAGATTTTAAAAAAGAAGAATAAAATCTGCTTTTGGCTTGTTTATTGGGGTCAGCTCGAATGCTGGGGCGAACGCAAAGGTCAGCCCAACCGGAGTGCAATGGCAGAGACTCGTTCTGGGAAAATTTAGTGTGAATTTTAGTAAATATAAATTCTTTTAATTTTGGGGTGAATTAATATTCTGGGGTGAATTAACAGAAAAGATCCCTTTTTTAATCCTTTGACAGCCAAGCATGACAGTAAAGCTACTAAAACCCAAGGGGTTACTGTGTGTGAAAGAATAAGAAAAAGAAAAACAATATTAAGGAATCTATATTACTTACATTGTGCGGGCTGTTATCCTCATCTTCATTGCCATATTCACAATAATTACAATACCTCATCTCAGAAACATAGAAAGATAGTATTAAGGAACTGGAACAATAAAAGAAGAGGAATCAAGGAGACAGTAGATACTGAATTGTACTACTTTTAAATTTTTGAAGATTAAAGTTGGCTGGAAAGCAAGAAGCACGAAGAGATACACAAGCGAGAAATGAAACTGCCTAGCAAAGATGTTACCGTTACATTTACCCAAGTTAATTGTAAAACTATGAGACCTTCTTCCTAGTCTAGTAGTACGCTTAAATAATTTTTTCTTTGCAAAATAAAATCCTGACGATTGCGTTGATTGATTGATTCTTTCATTTCTCATGGGTTATCATTCATTACAGGCCAGAAAACACTTTTCAATTGGAAGAATTTTTTATTTTTTTGGTAATGACAATGGTTTTAGTGATACGAGTCTTACGATTAACCTATAGCTGGGGGAGAAGAGTTGGATTTATTTCTCAAGAGTATTTCCGCGCAAGTGAATATAACGAACCCATCGGAAATTGAGAATTGGCTAACGGCACCTGGTTATCTCAATCAGCCACACATCCACGTACTAATCAAGCTCGACGTTGCTTAACTTCGGAGATCTTACGGAAACCGGTGTTTCAACGTGTTGTGATCGTAAGTCTCTATTGGTTCGATAAAGATCAGAGGACGAAACGCGTCGCCTCAGATAAGTTTTCCTTTTGTCTTTTTGTCATATTGTCCTTTTTACAGATGTATGTATATTTATATCTGAAATCTTACGCACACGCGTGGGAGCACACGCATAGACCCCCCCTCTCTCTCTCTCTCTCCATATATATATATATATATATATATATATATATATATATAAAGTGAACATTGAAGTCAACACTCAGAGGCGACAGGCTGTTTCATGCTAGACTAAAGGTTACCTGACGATTGTACTGTACTGTACTGATTCGGCATTCAGCCTGAGCGGATTGAGCCGGCTTCTTCCTGTTATGAGAAGAAGATTCTTGGGATAAATTACAGAAGTAGGGTACCCAGGCCTACTCGGATAACGTTCTTGCTTGCCGCGGGGTTCCCACAAACTCAGAGACAGGAACGACCAGAAGCCGCCGGTTGCCGATGCAGACGCTCCTTGGATTTTCACCAGAGCCCTTGTTAGCCGGCGTGTGTGTCAGACCTGTCCGCTTTGGGTGGCCCTACCAGGAACGAAGTTCCGGGCGGCATAGCTCTGACACTACCATTTACACCCCGCCACCGACTGTGAGGTAAGGGTTGGACTTTGGGGGCTTACAGTACCAGGTGTTCCCAAGCGGTCCCCCATCTAAGTACTGACCTGGCTCTACGATGCTTAACTTCCGTGATCGAACGAGAACCGGTGTTTTCAGCGTGATTTGACCGTAAGCACCGTAGTGCTTACGGTCAAATCACGCTACCTGACGATTGCGTCTAGCATGAAACAGCCTGTCGCCTCTGAGTGTTGACTTCAATGTACACTTTTATATTTATATTTACATACGCTCTATCTCTGATATAGAGCACTTTATCTCATAAATATATACGTTCTCCACTTGACTAGGCATTGAACTCACACTCTTTGGGTCCTGTCACTGGATCTAACCAACGCCTTTATCTACTGTGCCATGTGTCCTTGAGGACATCTGTGTAAGAATTTCTGGGCATTATAAACCTAATGTCTAGATAGTTAGATCCAGTGACTGGACCCGAAGAGTGTGAGTTCAATACCCGGTTAAGGCAGTAGAGAACTTGGAGAGGGGAATTAATAGATGATAATTGATAACTGACATCCATTAAACATGGCACGTGGAACTAGAACAGTCTATCCTATTGAGCGAAATAAAGGGTTCAGTTCGGCATTTCAACCACCTGAAGAAGGCTGGAGCGTACAGCGGCCGAAATGTTGTAATAAATATGGCGACAAAGATGAGGACAATAGTCCGAATAATATAAATAGTATTGGAAAATATTCTCCGTAATCTAATTTTAGGAATATTGAAGCCAAATTTACGATAGTCATCGCTCTTATTTTCTGATTATGTCGTGTATGGTTGACCATGCTTTCAGACAGGGGCAAGTTACATAGTATTTGATATGTATAAAAAAATTAAATTAAAAGAAAAAATATATTGAGTTTAAACGACTTTTATTGAATATTTCAATTTTTGATTCGAAAATATAGTTTTCACTTAATAGCAATGTCACCTAATCGGATTGAAGTAATGAAGAATTTTAAATGATTTATAAAAAAAATTAAAACAATTTTTGTAAAAATTTATTATTCATTAATTTTTTTGGTAAGTCGGTAGTGCCCTTAATAAATCTTTTTTTTTTTTTTATAAAAACAATTGAAGGCATTTCTAATTAAATATTGTCATAGTTTTATTGTATTTTTCATTTTACGATTTAGAGCAGATTTTTGATAACTGTTCCTGTTTCACAAACAAAAAAACAAAAAAAAAAAAACTGATGATTTGAATTCTCCAAGGATTCCTGCTTTTAAGTAATAAAACAATTTTTGAGATTACAATTGAATTTCTAGAAATTTCATGCAATTAATAAGTATGTGTGCGTGTGTGTGACGGGTAACAGCTGTAAACAAATTTATTACGATTTTCTAAAAAAAAAAAAGGTTAAAAATAATTTCATTCATTTGTGAATAAATCCTGAATGTTTCAGTAAAATCCGACAATTTTTACATTTTTGCATAATTTTCAGATCAAGGATTTTCACCGGAAGAAAGACGCAAAAACATTAATCGAAAACTTTATGTCGCCTGCTGACATAAAAAACCCCAAAAAAAAAAAAAAAAAGAAAGATTTTTAGTCAAAATTTCCATCGTACTATAAAGAATTAAAAAATAATAAAATAATATTAAAGATACTTTCTTCTTTCATTTTTAATAATATCATAAACATTTTGACGATAATACTTTGTTTTTATTTAGTTTGTATCCTTTTTTTCATGAAGTTATACACTTTCTCACCGAGCAAGTGGAGGTATCTAGGTATCTAATACATACATACATACATACATACATACATACATATATATATATATATATATATATATATATATATATATATATATATATATATGGTATTATATACAGATTATTGAGACAATTATTTGAAAACGCCATGCAGCTTAAGTAAATCATAAAAATCCTATTCTTGTAATCGGGTAACATGGTATTCTTACTATCCTTTTTCATGAAGCTATACTCTGTATATATATATATATATATATATATATATATATATATATATATATATATAAACTATAATCTCTCTCTCTCTATATATATATATATATATATATATATATATGATATTATATACAGATTATTGCAATTATCTGTAACGCTTCTGCAGCTTAAGTAAATCATAAAATCCTATTCTTGTAATCGCAAATCCCCCAAAGAGCTGCTTGTTTATATGAAACTTACGATAAGTCTGTTCAATTGAAGATGTCACAAATTGAATAAGGACTGAGGCCACTGCTAACGGATAGACAACACTCCATCACTTGTCCATCTTATATGCAAGAACAAATTAACTTCATAAAGTACTGAAACAGAAACATTTCGTTAGAAACAAAGAAGAAATTACGGAATTGTTATTTAATATATGTCTTCCTGTATGGCAGTGAATGCTGCAAAATCTCCTCACAAATGAAGAGAAGACCTGAAGCAACAGAAATGTGGTTCTACAGAAGGATGCTGAGAATACCATGGATCGAAGATTTAAGCAACAACAATGTTCTAGACACAATTGTGACAAAAAGAACATTTATACTTAACATCAGGAAGAGACAGCTGAAATTTCTAGGGCACATAATGAGGAAAGAGGGCTTCGAAAATTTGATACTCACATGGCAGATTGAAGGTAAGCAGGACTGAGGAAAATATAAATAAATGGCGTGCAACAGTGAATGGATGGCGAAGCAAATGTTGGGAGAGTTTGCGAAAAGATAAAATTTACAGAGAGCTGCAGAGGACAGGATGTTGTGGAGAGCCATGATCTCTATCGTCATGAAGGGACACAGCATATAAGACGATGAGAGTATGTATGGTTGTTAGCAAGGTGGGAAACTGAAGATATGAGCTGCAGATTGGAGATGTCAAAAACAAGCAAGTACTGAAATTTGGCTATCTGGGAATTATAATAAGCAACAAAAAATATGGCACAGAAATCTGAAGTTGCATTGCAATAGCCGAAGATGTCTTCTAAAATTAAGCAAAGTATTAAAAAAAAAGTAAGGAACAGGAATGCTTAATGAGAGGCAAAAAGAAGCGTAGAACATCGCTGTAATATAAATCTCCTTATATGGCAGTGAATGTTGGTCCATTACCTCACAGAAGAAGAAAAGACTTATGGCAACAGAGATTTAGTTTTAATGAAGGATAGTAAGAATTCCATGAACAAAAAATTATCAGTACCAAGGAAGTTAGAGGGAAAATAGGAAACAAAACCTCACGTGAGCACAGGGCCAGAAAAAGACAGTTAAATTTTCTGTGACAGAAAAAGAGGAAAATGAGCTTGGAGAATTTGAAACTCTGAGGTTGTACTGAAAGCAAGAGGAACAGAGGGAAACAATCTACTTAAAAAGCTCAAATAAATGGATGGCAGAGCAGTAAGAGGGAGAGAGAAAGTGTTACCTATAAACGCTATGTCCCAATCCTTCTAAATACGTTGGACTCTATTGTAAGTGGGAGTTATATGCTGTCTAAGTAGTCCACCACAAACAGTGGTTTATCTATTTCACGGCGCTGGCGAGTTTTGTATTTTGTTGATGTTATAAAGATTAGATTATAAAGAATGCATTTCCAACATCCGTTTTGGTTACTCTTCATTCAGTAACCCTTTCTAGGTTACAACAGATAGTAAAGGGCAAACATTGCTGATAACTTCTTTCAATTTTCACGCCGAGCAAGGTAATAAAGCCCCTAAGATGCAAGAATTTACTGAGTCCAAAAGAATATGAGAAAAAAAAAAAAAAACTCCATTAAGGAGAGAGAGAGATCAAGAAAAGAAGAAAATATAGCAACTGACATTGCATTTAAATTTTTGAAGTACTAGAGAAGAAACTGATCTATTTAGCCATTTCAACTGTAAAATGATGAGACCTAACTACCAATATAACACGACACTTAAATTCAAGGTACCAAAGAGTAAGATGCAAGGGTTTACTGGGTGTGAAAGAGAATGGCAATAATTCAGAAGGAACCGGGAACCAATCCTATACAGGAAACAGGAGATAAACGGCTACTCGACGCTCATTGTGTGTTAACCGTGCGATAGGGGAACCTATGTACTCCAATGTTTAGAAATATATTATTCTTCATATATATATATATATATATATATATATATATATATATATATATTTACAACAGTTCAAAAATTTGAAGTCACACTCAGAATTAGCATGGTATGAACATAAAAGAAGAATGAAACTTTTCCGTCCAAAAATGGAAAAGAGCTCTATGAGTCATTGCAAAATGAATGGAATGAATTATCAAACTTATACTTTGAGAAACTTTTGCAACTAATGCCAAAGATCTGTGCTGCAGTAATCAAGGCTAAAGGAGGATATTTTGACGAGAGCAAAATTTAATCATAAAATGTTTT